TAAAATTTCCTTTTTATGTTTTGTCTGATTTTTTTTTCGTAAGGTGTAGGGTAAACCCCCGTGTAAAAAAACAAAAAGTTGTTTAAATTTTTTAGAAAACCAAAAAAACAAAAAGGGGTAAGCCGAGTGGTCATAAGTCGAGGGAGGGGCGTTTAAATCGGATGGTAGGGGTATATATAATATATATATATATATAAAAATATATATATTTTTTTTTTTTTCCCCTTGGGCCCATTTTCCCCCCAAAGGGGGGTGGCCCCAAAAAGAAAAACTTTTACCATCTTCCTCCTCCCCCTGTCTTGCCCAAAAGGGGGCTTTTCACTCCCGTTTTTAAACTGCAAAAATTTCACCCCTCCTTCCCGGTGGGAGGCACTGTACCCTTTCCCCTCTCCAGGACTCAATTTCCCGGCCCGCCGGGGTTTCCCTGAAACCCTTCATAAATGTTACTTTGCTCACACCCAACCGCACGTCAAGTTTAAAAAAACCCTTTGTCCCCCATTTACTCCTATCAAACCCCCTCACGCCCGCCTGCTGGGAGTCCAACCCCTCGCACACAAAAAACCCCCTTTATCCCCTTCCCCCCAAACCCTTTTCCTGGCCCAAACCCCCACCCCGCCCTTTTTTTTCCCCTAAGACGTTTCCCTCCCTTTAATTATTTTTGTTTTTTGCCCAGCTCTCTCCTGGCCGAACCCCCCTAACAAAACCCCTTTCCCCGCCCTCTGGACAAAGTTTTGGTTTAAACCCGCCCCCCTCCAAAATTCCAAAATAAGAATTCCTGCTTATATTCACCCCCCACAATTTCCCTCAGACATGACCCCACTGCCTCCAGCCCCTTTTCCCCGCTTTCAACTTTACACCCAGGGTTCAAACCCATATAAGAGCGTTGGGAAAAACTATACTCTCAAACATTCCCCCCTTTTCCTCCAAGGGCAAGGTTTTTCGTCCCCCAAAACTCCAATGCACCCCCCAAAGCTTTTTCCCCCCTCAATTCTATGATTTACCTCATCTTTCATAGGGCCCCTCCTTACACGTCCCCTCCCAAATACTGAAAACGTTTTACCTCCCCCCATAAATTCTCCCTCCAATCCCGATATTCAATCTTTATCCCCCAAAACCCTTTTTTTTATCCTCATAACCCTTACTCTTTCCTGATTCCCCTTTAATTTTTTCTTTTTTTGACACCCTCCCAAACTCCACCAATCTCGCAGCTTCTTTCAAATCTCCCAAGAGCACAGTGTCATCAAAAGAGCAGCTGTGACAACTCCCACCCGTGTGTGATTCTTTATCTTTTAACTCCACGCCTCTTGCCAAGACCCTCGCATTTATATATATATAATGTATATTTTTATTATTTTTTTATTATAACACTGGCCGATTCCCACCAAGGCAGGGTGGCCCGAAAAAGAAAAACTTTCACCATCATTCACTCCATCACTGTCTTGCCAGAAGGGTGCTTTACACTACAGTTTTTAAACTGCAACATTAACACCCCTCCTTCAGAGTGCAGGCACTGTACTTCCCATCTCCAGGACTCAAGTCCGGCCTGCCGGTTTCCCTGAATCCCTTCATAAATGTTACTTTGCTCACACTCCAACAGCACGTCAAGTATTAAAAACCATTTGTCTCCATTCACTCCTATCAAACACGCTCACGCATGCCTGCTGGAAGTCCAAGCTCCTCGCAAAACAAAACCTCCTTTAACCCCCTCCCTCCAACCTTTCCTAGGCCGACCCCTACCCCGCCTTCCTTCCACTACAGACTGATACACTCTTGAAGTCATTCTGTTTCGCTCCATTCTCTCTACATGTCCCGAACCACCTCAACACCCTTCCTCAGCCCTGTGGACAACAGTTTTGGTAATCCCGCACCCCTCCTAATTTCCCAAAACTACGAATTCTCTGCATTATATTCACACCACACATTGCCCTCAGACATGACATCTCCACTGCCTCCAGCCTTCTCCTCGCTGCAACATTTATCACCCATGCTTCACACCCATATAAGAGCGTTGGTAAAACTATACTCTCATACATTTCCCTCTTTGCCTCCAAGGACAAAGTTCTTTGTCTCCACAGACTCCTAAGTGCACCACTCACTCTTTTCCCTCATCATTCTATGATTCCCTCATCTTTCATAGACCCATCTGCTGACACGTCCACTCCCAAATATCTGAATACATTCACCTCCTCCATACTCTCTCCCTCCAATCTGATATTCAATCTTTCATCACCTAATCTTTTTGTTATCCTCATAACCTTACTCTTTCCTGTATTCACTTTTAATTTTCTTCTTTTGCACACCCTACCAAATTCATCCACCAATCTCTGTAACTTCTCTTCAGAATCTCCCAAGAGCACAGTGTCATCATATATATATAAATTTAACTCTTATATGAAAAACAAGTGATGAATATTTGCAAGTATTGCCTGTATCTTATTGAATTATTGTGTTGTCTACAATGATAATGTAATGCTGCTTGCAACAATGTAATGCTTGCAACAATGTAATACTGCTTGCAACAATGTAATGCTGCTTGCAACAATGTAATGCTGCTTGCAACAATGTAATGCTGTTTGCAACAATGTAATGCTGTTTGCAACAATGTAATGCTGCTTGCAACAATGTAATGCTTCTTGCAACAATGTAATGCTGCTTGCAACAATGTAATGCTGCTTGCAACAATGTAATGCTGCTTGCAACAATGTAATGCTGCTTGCAACAATGTAATGCTGCTTCCAACAATGTAATACTGCTTGCAATAATGTAATGCTGCTTGCAACAATGTAATGCTGCTTGCAACAATGTAATGCTGCTTCCAACAATGTAATGCTGCTTGCAACAATGTAATGCTGCTTCCAACAATGTAATGCTGCTTCCAACAATGTAATGCTGCTTCCAACAATGTAATACTGCTTGCAATAATGTAATGCTGCTTGCAACAATGTAATGCTGCTTCCAACAATGTAATGCTGCTTGTAACAATGTAATGCTGCTTGCAACAATGTAATGCTGCTTCCAACAATGTAATGCTGCTTGTAACAATGTAATGCTGCTTGCAACAATGTAATGATGCTTGCAACAATGTAATGCTGCTTGCAACAATGTAATGCTGCTTGCAATAATGTAATGCTGCTTGCAACAATGTAATGCTGCTTGCAACAATGTAATGCTGCTTGCAATAATGTAATACTGCTTGCAACAATGTAATGCTTGCAATAATGTAATACTGCTTTGCAACAATGTAATGCTGCTTGCAACAATGTAATGCTGCTGCAATAATGTAATACTGCTTGCAACAATGTAATGCTGCTTGCAATAATGTAATGCTGCTTGCAACAATGTAATGCTTGTAATAATGTAATGCTGCTTGCAATAATGTAATGCTGCTTGCAACAATGTAATGCTGCTTGCAATAATGTAATGCTGCTTGCAATAATGTAATGCTGCTTGCAACAATGTATGCTGCTTCCAACAATGTAATGCTGCTTGCAACAATGTAATGCTGCTTGCAACAATGTAATGCTGCTTGCAACAATGTAATGCTGCTTGCAACAATGTAATGCTGCTTGCAACAATGTAATGCTGCTTGAAACCCAATGTAATGCTGCTTGCAACAATGTAATGCTGCTTCCAACAATGTAATGCTGCTTCCAACAATGTAATGCTGCTTCCAACAATGTAATGCTGCTTGCAACAATGTAATGCTGCTTCCAACAATGTAATGCTGCTTCCAACAATGTAATACTGCTTGCAATAATGTAATGCTGCTTGCAACAATGTAATGCTGCTTCCAACAATGTAATGCTGCTTGTAACAATGTAATGCTGCTTGCAACAATGTAATGCTGCTTCCAACAATGTAATGCTGCTTCCAACAATGTAATGATGCTTGCAACAATGTAATGATGCTTGCAACAATGTAATGCTGCTTGCAATAATGTAATGCTGCTTGCAACAATGTAATGCTGCTTGCAACAATGTAATGCTGCTTGCAATAATGTAATACTGCTTGCAACAATGTAATGCTTGCAATAATGTAATACTGCTTGCAACAATGTAATGCTGCTTGCAACAATGTAATGCTGCTTGCAATAATGTAATACTGCTTGCAACAATGTAATGCTGCTTGCAATAATGTAATGCTGCTTGCAACAATGTAATGCTTGTAATAATGTAATGCTGCTTGCAATAATGTAATGCTGCTTGCAACAATGTAATGCTGCTTGCAACAATGTAATGCTGCTTGCAACAATGTAATGCTGCTTGCAACAATGTAATGCTGCTTGCAACAATGTAATGCTGCTTGCAACAATGTAATGCTGTTTTGCAACAATGTAATGCTGCTTGCAACAATGTAATGCTGCTTCCAACAATGTAATGCTGCTTCCAACAATGTAATGCTGCTTCCAACAATGTAATGCTGCTTGCAACAATGTAATACTGCTTGCAATAATGTAATGCTGCTTCCAACAATGTAATGCTGCTTGCAACAATGTAATACTGCTTGCAACAATGTAATGCTTGCAACAATATAATGCTGCTTACAACAATGTAATGCTGCTTGCAACAATGTAATGCTGCTTGCAACAATGTAATGCTGCTTGCAACAATGTAATACTGCTTGCAACAATATAATGCTGCTTGCAACAATGTAATGCTGCTTGCAACAATGTAATGATGCTTGCAACAATGTAATGCTGCTTGCAACAATGTAATACTGCTTGCAACAATATAATGCTGCTTGCAACAATGCTGTGTTCAGTATCATGGTTGTATGGCTCACATCATGGTATGTTCTTTTAACCTGAAGGAAACAAACTTAATTTGTACACAGTTGTGTGGGAGCAAGAAGACATTGTGACCACTTGGATCAAATATTCTCTATTTTATTGTTCTCTGTTGGTAACTTTAAAAATTCAGTGTTAGAATATTATATATAATTGCGTTGGATGATAACGTTTGTAATTACTTTATATCCAGTTATGATTTTGATCATTATAGATTGATTATGCTTGATGAAGTGGATCAACTGGATAGCAAGAATCAGGAAGTGTTGTACACAATATTTGAGTGGCCATCTCTAGCAGGCTCCACACTGGTGCTGGTGGGCATTGCCAACTCTCTGGATCTCACTGATCGCATCCTGCCTCGCCTCCAGGCACGACCTTCATTCAAGCCCAAGCTGCTCCACTTTCCACCCTATACTAGGGCTGAGATCATCAAAATTATTAATCAACGTTTACAAGAGGTAGCAATTTTTTTTATTACCTTGGCTGCTTTCTCTTTAGGTAGAGTGACTTAAGAAAGCAAAATATATTAACCTTTATTTAATTGCTGTGTTTCTAAGAGTGTACAGTTGGTACCTTGACTTTCGAGTGCTTCAACTTATGAGTTTTTTTTAGTTACGAGGTGTCGCTCTGTCAAATTTTTGCTTTGAGTTGCAAGCCAAAATCCGAGTTAGGAGCGAACTTCAGATATGCCGCCACTCGCAGGAGATACCAAGGAAATATCAAAAACCTCAGTAATAACCAATGTGTTACATCCTTTCAATTTTGATACCACTGGTAGTGTCATCCTGCCAGAATGTTCTGTAACATATGCCCTAAGTAAAGAGAAACAATTCTGGAACACGTGTAATACATGTTCGGCAGGCTGGCTGGTTGGGTGACCAGCTGGCTGGCTGATTTGCTTTGGCTGTCTCTGTCTCCTGTCTGTATCTGACTATGTCTGTCTATCTGTGTGTCTGTATCTCTCTGTCTCACAGGTACACATAAATACAGTTATACATAGTGTAAATTACCTTGGATAACCCAAAAAGTCCAGACAAAGTGCTATACTATGCTTGTAGATATAAGGCATAATAAGCGCGACTGGAAAGTAATACACATTTTCACTTGTACAGGAATCAGACGTGACGCCTCTGCATCGTGTGTAATACCTGTTGGTTCGTGAGCGGCTCTCTCTCTGAGACAGACAAGTAGAGAGACAGGAAGACAGAAACACAGAAAGACAGATAAGCAGAGACAGAGATAAACATACAGCTAGACAGACAGATAGAAACAGATAGACAGACATGTTTATGTGTAACAGTGAAAAATAAAGCCAAAACAGTGCACGATCATCTGCACTGTCAGCAGTGAAGACACTCATCTTACACCGTGCTTCAAGGAGTTTCATATATACTCCAGCATTTCTAAAACACTGCTGGGAACTGGCAAATAAAGGCAAAAATCATTTCTTATTTATAAATTAATTTTTCTTATTTGAAAACCCGTAACCAAAAAAATTGAGGTGGATTTTTGGGGGCTGTAACGGATTAATGGCATTTCAGTTAATTTCAGTGAGGAAAATTGATTTGATATACGAGCAAATTGAGTTACGAGCTTGGTCACAGAAAAATTAAACTCATAAGTCAGGGTACCACTGTAGTGTTATCATGATTGTATGACGCAGTGAGCCACAACATTCTCACCTATCCTTCACACCTTCAGAGTGCAGGCACCACACATTGCACAACTCAAGTCTGGCAGACCAGTTTCCCTGAATAATTTCATAGGTGCTGTTATTTTGCTCACAGTGCAACTACACATCAGATGGTAAAGATTTACTCTACCATTCAGAACGCCTTCATATCCTCCTAACTATTCTTGGCAGATCTCCTACCGCTCCTTCCATCCTCCCAGATTTTTATACACTGAAGAGAATAAAATGGTACAATACTGTGCTACTGGAAAAGATAGCACCTACATTGACCATCATAGGAGCAATCCTGTAGTATTCTGTAGCTTATGTTAGTGCCTAGTTTCCTAGCTGGTATTGTGTAGTTCCTAGCTCCCTAGCTGGTAGTGTGTAGTGCCTAGTTCCCTAGCTGGTAGTGTAGTTCCTAGTTCCCTAGCTGGTATTGTGTAGTTCCTAGTTCCCTAGCTGGTATTGTGTAGTTCCTAGTTCCCTAGCAGATATGTGTAGTGCCTAGATCCTAGCTGGTATGTGTAGTCCTAGATCCCTAGCAGATATTGTGTAGTGCCTAGTTCTCTAGCAGGTAGTGTGTAGTGCCTAGTTCTCTAGCTGGTAGTGTGTAGTTCCTAGTTCCCTAGCTGGTTGTGTGTAGTTCCTAGTTCCCTAGTGGTAGTGTGTAGTTCTAGTTCCTAGCTGGTAGTGTGTAGTTCCTAGTTCCCTAGCTGATAGTGTGTAGTTCCTAGTTCTCTAGCTGGTAGTGTGTAGTTTCCTAGTTCCCTAGCTGGTATTTGTAGTGCCAGTTCCTAGCGTTGTGTAGCCTAGTTCCATGATAGTGTGTAGTTCCTAGTTCCCTAGCTGTAGTGTGTAGTTCTAGTCCTAGGTATTGTGTAGTGCCTAGTTCCTAGCTGGTAGTGTGTAGTTCCTAGTTCTCTAGCTGGTATGTGTAGTTCCTAGTTCCCTAGCTGGTAGTGTGTAGTTCCTAGTTCCCTAGCTGGTAGTGTGTAGTTCCTAGTTCCCTAGCTGTAGTGTGTAGTTCCTAGTTCCCTACTGGTAGTGTGTAGTTCCTAGTTCCCTAGCTGGTAGTGTGTAGTTCCTAGTTCCCTAGTGATAGTGTGTAGTTCCTAGTTCCCTAGCTGGTAGTGTGTATGTATCCTAGTTCCCTAGCTGGTAGTGTGTAGTTCCTAGTTCCCTAGCTGGTAGTGTGTAGTTCCTAGTTCCCTAGCTGGTAGTGTGTAGTTCCTAGTTCCCTAGCTGGTAGTGTGTAGTTTGTAGTGCCTAGTTCCCTAGCTGGTAGTGTGTAGTTCCTAGTTCCCTAGCTGGTAGTGTGTAGTTCCTAGTTCCTAGCTGGTAGTGTGTAGTTCCTAGTTCCCTAGCTGGTAGTGTGTAGTTCCTAGTTCCCTAGCTGGTAGTGTGTAGTTCCTAGTTCCCTAGCTGATAGTGTGTAGTTTCTAGTTCCCTAGCTGGTAGTGTGTAGTTCCTAGTTCCCTAGCTGGTAGTGTGTAGTTCCTAGTTCCCTAGCTGGTAGTGTGTAGTTCCTAGTTCCCTAGCTGGTAGTGTGTAGTCTTTCCCTAGTGGTGGGTATCCCTAGTCCCACTGATAGTGTGTAGTGCCTAGTTCCCTAGCTGGTAGTGTGTAGTGCCTAGTTCCCTAGCTGATAGTGTGTAGTGCCTAGTTCCCTAGCTGGTAGTGTGTAGTGCCTAGTTCCCTAGCTGTAGTGTGTAGTGCCTAGTTCCCTAGCTGGAAGTGTGTTGTGCCTAGTTCCCTAGCAGGTAGTGTGTAGTGCCTAGTTCCCTAGCTGGTAGTGTGTAGTGCCTAGTTCCCTAGCTGGTAGTGTGTAGTGCCTAGTTCCCTAGCTGGTAGTGTGTAGTGCCTAGTTCCCTAGCTGGTAGTGTGTAGTTCCTAGTTCCCTAGCTGGTAGTGTGTAGTTCCTAGTTCCCTAGCTGGTAGTGTGTAGTTCCTAGTTCCCTAGCTGGTAGTGTGTAGTTCCTAGTTCCCTAGCTGGTAGTGCTGTTCTAGTTCCTAGCGGTAGTGTTAAGTCTATTTCCTATGGTATGTGTAGTTTTAAGTAATCTTGTTTGTAGGGTACAAGTCATCTTGTATGTAGGGTATAAGTCATCTTGTATGTAGGGTATAAGTCATCTTTTATGTAGGGTATAAGTCATCTTGTATGTAGGGTATAAGTCATCTTGTATGTAGGGTATAAGTCATCTTGTATATAGGGTATAAGTCATTTTGTATAAAGTTTAGTCATGGACTCTTGCTCTATTTTTAATAGAGCGTTGTTGTGTAACTTTTATACACGTACTGTACAGCCAAGTCTCCTTTAGTGCGTATTTTGATTTAGCGCAAAATTAATTGATTCTAGTCACCCTCCCTTTCTCTCCAAACTCTTTAAATCGTGTGAAAAAATTACACAATTTGTATAATGTAATGATGTCTTGGGATTCGTTATTGGCACTAATCGAGATCTCTTCTTTCTCTTTCTTTTTCAACATACTGGCCGTATCCCACCGAGGCAGGGTGGCCCAAAAATAAAAATAAAAGTGTCTCTTTTTTAACTTTAGTAATATATACAGGAGAAGGGAACTTTAGTAATATGTATATACAGGAGAAGTGGTTACTAGCATCTTGCTCCTGGCATATTAATTGCCTCTTACGAGACGCATGGCTTACAGAGGAAGAATTCTGTTCCACTTCCCCATGGAGATAAGAGGAAATAAACAAGAACACTAACTAGTAAGAAAATAGAAGAAAACCCAGATTGGTGTGTATATATATGCTTTTACATGTATGTGTAGTGTGACCTAAGTGTAAGTAGAAGTAGCAAGACGTACCTGAAATCTGGCATGTTTCTTTCTTTCTTTCAACACACTGGCCATATCCCACCGAGGCAGGGTGGCCCAAAAGGAAAAACGACAGTTTCTCCTTTTCTTTCTTTCAACACACCCTTTCAACACACCGGCCGTATCCCACCGAGGCGGGGTGGCCCAAAAGGAAAAATGAAAGTTTCTCCTGTTACATTTAGTAATATATACAGGAGAAGGGGTTACTAGCATCTTGCTCCTGGCATATTAATTGCCTCTTACGAGACGCATGGCTTACAGAGGAAGAATTCTGTTCCAATTCCCCATGGAGATAAGAGGAAATAAACAAGAACACTAACTAGTAAGAAAATGGAAGAAAACCCAGATTGGTGTGTATATTTATGCTTGTACATGTATGTGTAGTGTGACCTAAGTGTAAGTAGAAGTAGCAAGACATACCTGAAATCTTGCTTGTTTATGAGACAGAAAAAAGACACCAGCAATCCTACCATTATGTAAAACAATTACAGGCTTCTGTTTTACACTTACTTGGCAGAATGGTAGTACCTCCCTGGGCAGTTGCTGTCGTCCAACTTACTACCTAGTAATTGAGATTAACTGTCCATTATTTTAAAGCATCTAAATTTTGTCTAATTTTGATGTGTGTGTGTATAGTTGTTGAAAATTGCATCGCTGAATTTCTAGGCCGGATTGGGAAACCTGCAAGTGATTCGACCCAATGCCATCCAGTTTCTGGCTGGGAAAGTTGCATCGGTGGCAGGAGACGTGAGGAAGGCCTTGGATGTGTGCAGACGAGCTGTGGAACTCTGTGAGATTCAGGCACGTAAACAAACGCTATTGAAGCCTTCTAATGGTATGTAAATTTGATGGATTTTACTCTGTCGAGACAGGATATGTACTCTGAGAGCCATACAGGGGCTCCTTGACCTACCGTGGGGTTACATTTTGACAAACCCATTGTAAGTTGAATATATTAATGTGATATGCTAAATAAGTATATAATTACTGTCACTGAATAAATAAATGAACAAATAATTGCTGTTTTGAAAAGTAAATACAGTGGACCCCCGGTTAACGATATTTTTTCATTCCAGAAGTATGTTCAGGTGCCAGTACTGACCGAATTTTTTCCCATAAGGAATATTGTGAAGTAGATTAGTCCATTTCAGACCCCCAAACATACACGTACAAACGCACTTACATAAATACACTTACATAATTGGTCGCATTTGGAGGTGATCGTTAAGCGGGGGTCCACTGTAAATGAATATGAGTTATGGACTTGCCGCCTTCATGCTGGGTAATTATCTCAAGTTTTATCTCCAAAGTAATTGCTGCCGCACCATCACAAAGTCGACGTGCCATAAGTCGAGGAGCACCTGTATTTCTCTCATTGTATATATGCTCAGAGTTGGCTCTAATCCCTTTTTTAAAGATTAAAGTATTTTTATCTTGTGGTGAAAAGGTTACATGGCAGCTGTAATGATCCTAGTGGAGTCGATAGGTATTAAACCCCATTAATTATTATGTTGATCTGTTAGTCATAGTTTATCACTTTGTTGTCTGGTAACTCAGAGATAACTCAGGCTGACACTGGTTGTATACTTTTAGGGAGATACGTGGCCATTTTTCCACCGAGGTAGGGTTGCCCCCCCAAAAAGAAGAAACACACTCACTATCATTCACTCCATCACTGTCTTGCCAGAGGGGTGCTGATACTACAGTTCAAAACTGCAAATATTCCCACCCCTCCTTCAGAGTGCAGGCACTGTACTTACCATCTCCTGGACTCTTAAGTCTGACAACCTGGTTTTCCTGAATCCCTTCATAAATATCGTCATGCTCACACTCTAACATCACGTCAAGTACTAAAAAACCACTTGCCTCCACTCACTCCTATGTAACATGCTCACATACACATACTAGATGTTTAAGCCTCTCACACACGCAAAACCTCCTTTACCCCTTCCCTTCAACATTTCCTAGGACAACCCCTACCCTGTCTTCCCTCCACTACAGATTTAAATACCCTCTAAGTCATCCTATTTTATTCCATCCTCTAAATGTTCTAAGCACCTCAACAACCTCCTCCTCAGCCCTCTGGATAATGTTTTTAGTAACTCCACACCTCCTCCTAATCTCCAGACTCTGCATAATATTTACACCACACATTGCCTTCAATTCCATGGGGAAGTGGAACATTATTCTTCCTCCATAAGCCATGTCATAAGAGGCAACTAAAATGCCGGGAGCAAGGGGCTAGTAACCCCATCTCCTGTATACATTACTAAATTTAAAAAGAGAAACTTTCGTTTTTCTCTCTAGATCACCCTGCCTTGGTGGGATATAGCCGGTTTGTTAAAAAAAAAAAAAAAACATTGTCTTCAGACACAACATCTCCACTGCCTCCAGCCTCCTCCTTGCTGCAATATATACAACCCATGCTTCACACCCACTACACACTCATACATTCTCACTCTTGGTTTCTACATTCCCACTCTTGGTTTCTACATTCTCACTCTTGGCTTCTACATTCCCACTCTTAGTTTCTACATTCCCACTCTTAGTTTCCATGGATAATGAATAATGTTTGTCTCCACAGATACCTCAGTGCACCACCCACTCTTCTTCACCAGTTCTATGGTTTACTTTATTTTTCATAAGCTGATCAGAGGTATAATGTGACTGACAGATAGTATTGACAGATTATGGATGAGAGAGAGTATTCTCCATGGGGAAGTGGAGAAGAATCCTTCCTCTGTAAGTCATGTGTGTGTTAAGAGGTGACTACAATGGTGACAGCAAGAGGCTAATAGTAACCACTTATGTATAAATTACCAAATGTAAAAAGAAGAAAAACTTTTGTTACTTTTTTTGGGGTCGCCTTACCTTGGTGGTAGATGGCAGGTGTATTAAAAAAAAAAAAGTAGAGTAAACTTACTCTATTACTCTCTCTACTTGTCAAGAGAGAGAGTATGCAGAACATCTCTTTATTCTGAGAGTTTCTCTAATTGTTCAGTATCAGGTTTTAATTTGGTAAAGCTCTACACTGAAAAGCTTCATCAAATTAGAATAAAGTCACAATACTGTATTTGGAACAACACTGGGATAACCTTCACTTAACAAGACTGAAAATTTTGACGAGGTTTTGGTCCAACTTGAACCATTAACTAGTTCAAGTTCAGTCTCCCAAGTGCAAGTTATTAGCATATCAGCGGATTTAAAACTCCCTGCAGAAAACTATATACCACAGGGATTTATACTGTAGTCTCTCATAAACCACGGCTGAGTATATTGTGAATGATAGCTGGGCTATTAAAGAAAAAAATCTTGACTCATTCTTAGGTATTATCCAGCTATGACCTAAGAACCTTAGAATGGAGGAACACTACAGCAAGCCTACTGTACCACACTAGGTAGGTCTTACTCAAACCCAAAAACAGTGAGCTACTTTTTAAGATATTCTAAATGAGGTATTGAGTGGGTCACTGAGATTATAATCCACATTCAATGATTTTCTTTTCCCCCGAAGTTTTAACAAGTGCTTGTGTAGAAAATTTTAGAACACAGCCTCTCCTCATTTAGTGACATACTTGTTTACTGACGCCTTGGACTTACGACGGGCGCTCTGACCAGTATGCTTAACAAAATAATGTATATTAGAGCTGATTTCCTCTATTCTCTTTATTACAATATACAGTGCACTACTGTATTCACATTTGAAAATATACAAAAAAATGATATAAATGGTACAGAGGTAACATTAAAACAGTATCAAAGATGGTTGACACAAATCCACTACCATTATAGTATTCTCCTCGCTTAGTGTAAATTCATTTAGTGACATGGTCTTAGGAATGGAACTCCATCATTAAGTGAGGAGAGGCTGTACTCTATGACACCTTATTTAAATTGTTATTAAGAGAGAGAGGTCACTGTAGGGACCTTGTGTAGATGTTATTACCATATAGGTGTCACTGCTACCTAGGCATCACAACTACACCCTAAGTGTTACAACTACTGCCGTTATTTTCTAGGGAGTCCTCGCAAATCTCCGCTCAAACGCCAGGAAAACACAGTACCAAAGGTAGTGGAAATACCACAGGTGTTGTCTATCTTCAATGAGGTGTATGGGTCGCGTGTGATCACCGCAGTGACGGAGGCTCCTGAGAGCTTCCCTTTACAACAGAAGGTCATAGTGTGTTGCCTTCTGCTTATTATCAAATATGGAAGGACCAAAGATGTTACCCTTGGGAAGGTAAGACACTGGTTGTGTGTGTGTATTAAAGCATTTAGGTGTTTTAAAGCACTTTTGTTAGTGTTTATCACAGGTGTTTTAAAGTTCTTACTGTGTGTGTGTGTGTGTTAGTAACTCTGCTTGTGTGTGTGTGTTTTTAACCTTTTATTACATGCATTTTTAAAGCACTTGGTGTGTGTTTGTTGTTATTGTGCATGTTTAAGCTTTTATTATGTGTTTTTAAAAGCATTTGTGTGTGTGTTTGTTAAGCCTTTGAGGGTCCAGACCCCCAGTCTGAAAATTCCCGACTGGGTCCAAGAATTTAAACAAAAAAAATCTTATTTTTTTCTTATGAATTTATTTTTTTATTATCACACTGGCCAATTCCCACCAAGGCAGGGTGGCCCAAAAAAGAAAAACTTTCACCATCATTCACTCCATCACTGTCTTGCCAGAAGGATGCTTTACACTACAGTTTTTAAACTGCAACATTAACACCCCTCCTTCAGAGTGCAGGCACTGTACTTCCCATCTCCAGGACTCAAGTCCGGCCTGCCGGTTTCCCTGAACCCCTTCATAAATGTTACTTTGCTCACACTCCAACAGCACGTCAAGTATTAAAAACCATTTGTCTCCATTCACTCCTATCAAACACGCTCACGCATGCCTGCTGGAAGTCCAAGCCCCTCGCACACAAAACCTCCTTTACCCCTTCCAACCTTTCCTAGGCCGACCCCTACCCCGCCTTCCTTCCACTACAGACTGATACATTCTTGAAGTCATTCTGTTTCGCTCCATTCTCTCTACATGTCCGAACCACCTCAACCCTTCCTCAGCCCTCTGGACAACAGTTTTGGTAATCCCGCACCTCCTCCTAACTTCCAAACTACGAATTCTCTGCATTGTATTCACACCACACATTGCCCTCAGACATGACATCTCCACTGCCTCCAGCCTTCTCCTCACTGCAACATTCATCACCCATGCTTCACACCCATATAAGAGCGTTGGTAAAACTGTACTCTCATACATTCCCCTCTTTGCCTCCAAGGACAAAGTTCTTTGTCTCCACAGACTCCTAGGTGCACCACTCACCCTTTTCCCCTCATCAATTCTATGATTCACCTCATCTTTCATAGACCCATCCGCTGACACGTCCACTCCCAAATATCTGAATACATTCACCTCCTCCATACTCTCTCCCTCCAATCTGATATCCAATCTTTCATCACCTAATCTTTTTGTTATCCTCATAACCTTACTCTTTCCTGTATTCACCTTTAATTTTCTTCTTTTGCACACCCTACCAAATTCATCCACCAATCTCTGCAACTTCTCTTCAGAATCTCCCAAGAGCACAGTGTCATCAGCAAAGAGCAACTGTGACAACTCCCACTTTATGTGTGATTCTTTATCTTTTAACTCCACGCCTCTTGCCAAGACCCTCGCATTTACTTCTCTTACAACCCCATCTATAAATATATTAAACAACCACAGTGACATCACACATCCTTGTCTAAGGCCTACTTTTACTGGGAAATAATTTCCCTCTTTCCTACATACTCTAACTTGAGCCTCACTATCCTCGTAAAAACTCTTCACTGCTTTCAGTAACCTACCTCCTACACCATACACCTGCAACATCTGCCATATTGCCCCCCTATCCACCCTGTCATACGCCTTTTCCAAATCCATAAATGCCACAAAGACCTCTTTAGCCTTATCTAAATACTGTTCACTTATATGTTTCACTGTAAACACCTGGTCCACACACCCCCTACCTTTCCTAAAGCCTCCTTGTTCATCTGCTATCCTATTCTCAGTCTTACTCTTAATTCTTTCAATAATAACTCTACCATACACTTTACCAGGTATACTCAACAGACTTATCCCCCTATAATTTTTGCACTCTCTTTTATCCCCTTTGCCTTTATACAAAGGAACCATGCATGCTCTCTGCCAATCCCTAGGTACCTTACCCTCTTCCATACATTTATTAAATAATTGCACCAACCACTCCAAAACTATATCCCCACCTGCTTTTAACATTTCTATCTTTATCCCATCAATCCCGGCTGCCTTACCCCCTTTCATTTTACCTACTGCCTCACGAACTTCCCCCAAACTCGCAACTGGCTCTTCCTCACTCCTACAAGATGTTATTCCTCCTTGCCCTATACACGAAATCACAGCTTCCCTATCTTCATCAACGTTTAACAATTCCTCAAAATATTCCCTCCATCTTCCCAATACCTCTAACTCTCCATTTAATAACTCTCCTCTCCTATTTTAACTGACAAATCCATTTGTTCTCTAGGCTTTCTTAACTTGTTAATCTCACTCCAAAACTTTTTCTTATTTTCACAAAATTTGTTGATAACATCTCACCCACTCTCTCATTTGCTCTCTTTTTACATTGCTTCACCACTCTCTTAACCTCTCTCTTTTCTCCATATACTCTTCCTTCCTTGCATCACTTCTACTTTGTAAAAGCTTCTCATATGCTAACTTTTTCTCCCTTACTACTCTCTTTACATCATCATTCCACCAATCGCTCCTCTTCCCTCCCGCACCCACTTTCCTGTAACCACAAACTTCTGCTGAACACACTAACACTACATTTTTAAACCTACCCCATACCTCTTCGACCCCATTGCCTATGCTCTCATTAGCCCATCTATCCTCCAATAGCTGTTTATATCTTACCCTAACTGCCTCCTCTTTTAGTTTATAAGCCTTCACCTCTCTCTTCCCTGATGCTTCTATTCTCCTTGTATTCCATCTACCTTTTACTCTCAGTGTAGCTACAACTAGAAAGTGATCTGATATATCTGTGGCCCCTCTATAAACATGTACATCCTGAAGTCTACTCAACAGTCTTTTATCTTATGAAATGGTAGATAATCTTTTTTTGAAGGTAATAAAACAAAAAGTACAAAATTTGATAAAAAATTGACGGAATTACTCTCTCGCGAATTTTGCTGTGTCAGCAATATTTATATATCGGCAATTTTACCCACTTTGTCCTATTTTTGGCCAATTACATTGTTCCATTTGACCCAATTCTTAGCTATTGTGCTAGTATGTGTTCCATTTTATCTACCGAGCACAAGAAATTATCCGATCACCTATTTCAACTACTCGGTAAAGTGATCGTAAATTGTTTGGCCAATTTCACACCGTTCAAAATATTCCAATTTCAAAATAGGGTCCAGAATAAACAATGCAGACATTCCTGTCACTAAAATAACATTTCTTCTGTTTATTAGTTATGTTTCCAGGATTAGCAGATGAATTCCATTTTGAGTTTTTATTTGAAGAATTTTATTCACAGCAAAAAATAGAAGATTTACTGCTATGTAATATTGTAATAATTGTATAAATAATATCAGCGCATTCGTGAACGTACATTAGATCCACCAGCTGACGTGTATTGGACGCATGATGTGATTTGTTTACTCTTGAACAGCAGCAGCAAAAATCGAGCATTTCTGCCACTTTGAGCTCAATTTCAAGCTATTATCAGTACTTAAACCAATGAGAATCATCTCTATTTCTGTAATATCTCCCATTCTGTCAAAAGTGACCAAAAAACTGCGAATACAACCGTAAAAACCATACGAAAGTACACTGCAAAGTTGCTGTTTTAATCCAAAAACACGCAGTGCTTGCTGCAGGATTTGTTTTACATGGTGCACTTTTACCACATTGATGCATTCTTTCATATCTAGGCCCAAATTTACCGCTCACAGCTTGTCTGAGTGAGCTGAGCTCTTAACGTAGTCCTACGGCACTGACCCTGGCTTCAAAGCCATAGAACTACGGGACGGACCCTTGAAAGGTTGAAGCTTTTATTTCGAGTGTTTTTAAAGCTCTTGTGTTTGTTAAAGGATTTATTACATGTGTTTTTAAAAGCACTTATTGTGTTTATCAAAGTACAGTGGACCCCCGGTTAACGATATTTTTTCACTCCAGAAGTATGTTCAGGTGCCAGTACTGACCGAATTTATTCCCATAAGAAATATTGTGAAGTAGATTAGTCCATTTCAGACCCCCAAACATACACGTACAAACGCACTTACATAAATACACTTACATAATTGGTCGCATTCGGAGGTAATCGTTATGCGGGGGTCCACTGTATTTGTTTTATGTATTAAAACATTTGTTACATATACAGTGGTCCCTCAATTATCGTCCATAATCCGTTCCTGGAAGTGGGACTATTATTGAAATGGACGATTTACGAATCAATTTTCCCCATAAGAAATAATGTAAATTCAATTAATCCGTTCCTGACACCCAGAAGTATTAAAACAAAATTTTTTTTACATGAAATATAGATTTTTTTTTTTTTTTTTTCAACAAGTCGGTCGTCTCCCACCGAGGCAGGGTGACCCAAAAAAAAAGAAAGAAAATCCCCAAAAAGAAAATATTTCATCATCATTCAACACTTTCACCACACTCACACATTATCACTGCTTTTGCAGAGGTGCTCAGAATACAACAGTTTAGAAGCATATACGTATAGAGATACACAACATACCCCTCCAAACTGCCAATATCCCAAACCCCTCCTTTAAAGTACAGGCATTGTACTTCCCATTTCCAGGACTCAAGTCCGACTATATGAAAAATAACCGTTTCCCTGAAATCCCTTCACTAAATATTACCCTGCTCACACTCCAACAGATCGTCAGGTCCCAAGTATCATTCGTCTCCATTCACTCCTATCTAACACGCTCATGCATGCTTGCTGGGAAATCCAAGCCCCTCCCCACAAAACCTCCTTTACCCCCTCTTTCCAACCCTTTCGAGGACGACCCCTACCCCTCTTTCCTTCCCCTATAGATTTATATGCTTTCCATGTCATTCTACTTTGATCCATTCTCTCTAAATGACCAAACCACCTCAACAACCCCTCTTCTGCCCTCTGACTAATGCTTTTATTAACTCCACACCTTCTCCCAATTTCCACACTCCGAATTTTCTGCATAATATTTACACCACACATTGCCCTT